CTGATGGAGGCATAGAATTCCATTGTGTATATATACCACATTTTCTTGATCCATTCATCTACTGAGGGGCATCTGGGTTGGTTCCATATCTTAGCTATTGTAAATAGTGCTTCTTTTTGCTAATTTTTTTTGTTAATTTGTTGTTGCCATTGTGAATTTGGTCTTTGAACAGAACAAAGGTGACTTTCTAACCTTAGTAGAAATTAAATGGCATGAGAATTGTTGCTACTCAGTTGAAGTCCCTGGTCATGGAAGAAAAAGAGAAGTATCTTAGAATTGTGGGCCAGCACAAAGACATCTTTTTCTTTCCTAAGAAGCTGTCCCATAGAATATAAGATTTTGCAATGACACAGTTGCATGTGCAAAGTTGAAAAGTTCATGGGTGTGTCTGCAGTGTGAATCAGCAGTTTGTAGACATCATGAGGTGGTGTGCTGCGGTCCCATGAAACTGACTTCTGGAGGCTCCCTCATTATGTAATAGCTAGATAATCTCCATGTAAATGTTGTTTTACACCATATTGCTTTAATCAATTAATCTGAAGGGCATTAGGCATAACTTCGGTTTACTAGGTGTCAAGTATATATCAGTGAAGAGATTTTTGTGCATTATTTTATTTAATCTTCATGGTTAGTCTGTGAGGCTGGAATTATTACCTCTATTTTATTGTGAAGAAACTAAGATTTAGAGAGGTCCAGTGTTACCTAGTAAGAATGTATATGCAGCCAGATGCAGATGGCTTACACCTGTAATCTTAACTATTGGTGGGGCTGAGATTTGAAGATCACAGTTCAAAGCCAGGCTGGGCAGAAAAGTCTGTGAGACTCTTACCTCCAATTAACCAGCAAAACATTGAAAGCCTTGAGCAGAGAAAGCTAATGGATCATACCAAGGCCTGAGGTCAAGCCCTAGTACTGACCTCTGCACGTGCGTGCGCACACAAATTTGGATGCTGGCTCTTGACTGTAGAATCTTAACTTTTTGCTTTAGTCGTAGCTCTCTTGCATTCGTTTCATAGTTCCTGAAGAATTTATTCATCCAAACATTTATTTGTTGAGGGCCTGCACTGTTCAAAGCACTGTGTATTAGTGTTACAGTATAAAAAGTCCTAGCATTCTAGAAGCTTGCTTTCTGTTTCATTAAGTGGTGTGTGTGCATTTCCCTTCCAGTGACTATGCTATAATCTTGACTTTTAGGAATGCAGCTGAAATTTCATGTAGGACTAAGTATATATTTTGAGCTTAGGAAAGGATTATTTCCACAAAAATGCTGGAAGCCAGGGCATACCCCCATTGTATCTATCAGCAATGTGTTTATTATTTTTGCACTGGCCTTCAGCCTTTGTGGAGTTCTTATACTGTAAATGTTCTTGCCAAGAGACATTCAGTAGGAATTATTGTTGATGATGAAGCTACTCTTGATATCTTGATGTTGTTGACTTCCTTAAATGTTCCATAGTTGTGTGGATCAGCCTAGAATCCCCTTTTTTCTTCTGAAAACTTCAAAATTATCACATCAGTTCAGTGTAAGAATCTGAATTGTTTAATGGAACAGAATTGGACGTCCAGAAGGAAAGTCTAATTGTGTGGGCAAATACTGATTTCATGGGGGGTTTTTTGATATCAAAAATAAGAATGACTTATTTGTGCTGCATGTTGCTTTTAAAAAAATCTGTGTGGAAGCTTCAAATAGGTTTAAATATTCTTGAGTAGGGGCTAACACCTTACATTTTTTCAGTTTGGAAAATACCAATAAAATGCTGCAAAGTATGTTATGCCTTAATTAAGTAGGCTTTATTTTTCATTGGAAACACAAGTGGACATTTTGATCCCGTATAATGATATATATTGTGTATCTTCCTCATTTTTTTCTTTTGAAGTCATTTGTCCAGAGGGAGGTTTTCTGGCAAAGCAACTGTTCATTTTTCATTTTGACATTGCTTCTCCATGGGATCCTAATGCTGGGCTCTCTGATAACCAGTGCAAACTCCATGAGTATCTTTCATTTCTCTAGAAGGAGGTGTGGATTTGCAAGGCTACCAGCTGGATATGCAAATACTGCCCGACGGCCCAAAGAGTGATGTGGACTTTTCAGAGATTCTTAATGCAATACAAGAAAGTAAGTTGCACTCAAATTTTGAATTCATCACAATAGGAGACGGGGATGGGGAGTAATAAAACTAGAAACATAGGAAGCCAAGATTTAAACAAGTAACAATAAAACAGTGTTTTAAAAGAGACAATGAGCAAAATATTTTTTTTCCTTTTTAAAAAATTTTATTGTCAAGGTGATGTACAGAGGGGCTACAGTTATATAAGTAAGGTAGTGAGTACATTTCTTGTAGAACTTATTACCCCCACCCTCATTTCTCTCCCCTCCCAATCCCCCCAAGTTGTACAGATCGTTTCTAAAATATTATTTTGTGAGTATTGTGAGTATTGCTGTTGCATTGGTTCCCCCTTTGTCCTTTGTCTAAAATAATTTTTAATTTTTTAATTGTTATTATAACGGTGATACACAAAAAGGTTATAGTTATATGTCAGTTAATGAGTACATTTCCTTTTGGACAATGTCACCCCTGAGCAAAGTAATATTAAGATCAGAAAAGAGAATGAAATGGGAGATTAAATTTTGAACTCAAAACATATCATATTGGGATCTTTGGAGAATTATGTTTAGCATGTTGTAATATTTAGTCAACCTTCTAGTATTTACATTAAAAAAATAATCCTTGAATAATTACAATCAAAGAAAAGTCTTTGAAAGACCCAAATACTTAGTCAGCTGTGGTGGCTGAAGCTTCTAATCCTAGCTGTTTGGTGAGGATGACAGTTCAAAGCCAACTTGAGCAAAACATGTTTGTTACTCTCCATCTTGACCTACGGCTCTGTGTAGTGGCACACGCCTGTCATCCTAAACTATGAGTGAAGCACAATCGCTGTATGTAGTGACATATGCTTGCCATCCCAGCGACCTAGGGAAGCATAAATAGGGGGGTCACAGTCCAGGACAGCCCAAACTTAAAGTAAAACTGTGTGTGTGCATGCGCTACAGATTGGACTATACTCAGAGTATATATATAATATGTATATATATATATCGAGAGAGAGTGTATATGATATATATTTATCTACATTTAGGGTACATACACATGTAGTACTGGGTTTGAGCTCTGGAAGTTACATGTGCTAATCACTTGGGCCATGCATACTTCCCTTTTAGCTTTTAGGTATTGTTCCGGTATGTTCTTGTGCTTTTGGCTTAGGCTATGCTTGAATCATAGTTTTCCTAGTTATACCTTCCACAAAACTGGGGGTACAAGCACAAGCATACATCACTATGCTCTGAAAGTTTTTTGAGATAGAATCTCCCTAATTTTTTTGCCCAAATTAGCCTTGAACTTCCAACATCCTATCTTTGCCTCCCAAGGAGTTATAATTGCAAACATGAGCCACCTCACCAAGCTCTTGAAAGAAATATTTAAATACAATAATACAAATAAATATTTTTATAAACAATACAAGTGTTTGTTCTAGCTACATAATCCTTCATACTAGTTAATGAGTAAGAGAAAAATATTCTCAAGAGAATAAAAAATTAATAGCCACTGGGCAGAAAATACGTTTCATGGAAACTTTTTAAGTTATATAATTATTTCAAACAAGTTTCCTCAGGTCTTAGCCTCCTACATAGTTAGGATTACAGGCGTGAGCCATGGCTCCTGGCACGTGCTTATGTTTCTTAATGGGCTAATGAATGAACGAATTCTACTGCAAACTTGGAATATGGGCAGCCCACAAGTAGCCAGTGCAGGTAGAGTCTTGAGTGTCTCTAAATGTTTTTCTTTTTACTAGACTCTTGGTATCTTTGAGCCTTCCTGGATATGAGAAGCAGAAGAGAGTGGGAATATTGGCAAGTGGGAATATTGAAATTAAATTAGAATTCCATTCCTAAATCAGTGAAATGGAAACAGATTCAACTTGATTTGATGATAATGAAGTCACAAGTCAATTCTTAACTCTCAAGTGCGTTTGTTTGCTTGTTTTTATTGTGAAAATACTGTATAGAGGGGTTACAATTACATGGACAAGATAATGAGTATATTTATTATCAAGCACTGTAGCCTCCTCCTTTGTTTCCCCTCAAGTTTGTTTAATAAGATACATAGTCTAAAGATTTAGGTGTAAATCTTACTGTGTGTATAGTATCCATTTTTAAAATACCCTTTTTTAACCATCAAAGTTTTTAGATACAAACATTTTAGGATGTATGTATTTTAAGTTTCTTTCTTCTGAAATTAAATTGACAAACATATCTCAATGCTCTATAATCCATGAGTTGTATGTGTGTGTGGTATTGCGTATATGTGAGTATTTATTAGTTGACCACTGTATGCATGTTGTTCAAAAGTTATGCTAATCCTTTGAACTCTTACATTAAATCATTACCAGCCAACATCCAGGCTCTTTCTAGAGACCATTCATCCTCTTCACCTTTTCTTATTCACTTTTCTTGTTCTGATCTTAGTTATCTCTTCTTAGTTCTCCCTTATACCTAGATATGCACTTTAGAAACCCTTAAATTGTATTCATCTCCTAAAAAACATAATTTGTGTTATATTCCATTAAGGTTTAATGAAGGAAAGAGAACAAAAGATTAGAGTTCCCAACTAAGACTGGTCAGAGTTTTGGAATGTTGTGGTCTGAGTCTGACCCTTTTAATATGTCTGCCTGGCCATTGTTCCTGCATTGGTGGTAGCTTGGGCCTCAGTGGCTGAGGAAACTAAGTCATTTCTCAGTGACATGTCTTAGGACTTGAATGCTAATCCAGTTTTGAACTTGCCAGATCAAGCCCTTTCAGAGGGGAAGATGGCCAGGGATGGGGTACTGACATAGATTAAACACATGATCTTAGGTTGGTTGACCTTTTGTTTATGTTATTTTATTTAGTCTTAAACTCTTTGTTTTAACATCCACATCTGTAGAAGATGCAATAGTAATAGTAAATCTACATAAAGCCTCATCAACATAAAACCAGTGCTGGGTAAGCACTGCGAAGGTGTGAGCTGTCACTTTTGTCTTTATTGTTCATTATATTCCAGTCTAGAAAATAATATGCCCACTTAAAAGACAAAGGTAAAGGATGAAGAAGTTAAATCACCCAGTCCAGTAGCCAGTACATTCAAAGGCTGGCCTGTAAACTCAGAGGTGTCTGAACCCAGAGGTTATGTGCTTTCCCAAGAAGGCAAAAATTACAGTCAGGAGGCTCTGAAAACCTTTAATGCAGGACATCAGTGACTTTGTTGTTCAAAGGTAGCTAAGGCTCAGCAGCAAAGCTTAAATGAGAGATACTCTTGTGTTCTACCTGTCAGTCTCAGGATTGTAAGAGGTGATGTCATCATTCGCACTGCTATGGGAATAGCTGAGGTGCCAGCCTTTCTTTTAGAATAAAGTAGTACCAGGGAAAGCCCTTTATAAAGCCCTTGCTCCTTAGAGCAAGTAAGGAATGATTTTGGCTCCTCTATGGAGTGTGCTGGGTGCATGCAATGCATGATCTGTGCGATTTTGTAAATGTCCTCTTTCCTAACCCCGGACATGGTAGTGCTGTTATTTTTAATGACTATACATGTTTTCTAAGTCATTTTCCCTGGCAGAATGAAGGTGCATACTTTCATGTCTATAACAATGAGAAACCGAGGTTTTCTTTGGGAAAGATTAACATTTAATAACACTAATGGTTGCCAGAACCCATTAGCAGAGTTTGTAAACACTTCTCTCCCCACCTCCTCTCCTGTCCCCTCTTCTGCTTTGCTTTCCTTTTCTTTTCAACTATGATTTGAAGAACATGCTAGCCAGTATTCTATTACTCGAGCCATGCCCCTGCCCTTTTGCTTTTAATTATTTTTGGGTTTTTTTTTCAGATAGGGTCTCATGCTTTTGTCACAGGGCAGCCTAGGATTTTGATCCTCCTATATTCCACCTCAAGTGTTATACTCTTGTTTTTTAAGCTGTATGATCTGCTGGTTTCCCCCAGGTATATTGTCAACAGATAATTTCAGTATGCCAAAGACATGCAATTCTTTGTTATCATTAGAGTTACAACGTAGGCTTTGTCTTTTCCGTTTTGTCCTTCCACATCTTCTAGTGCTCAAAAGGATCCTGGTGTGTTCTGGGGAACACACTTCAAAAAACTGCTGGCCTTATTGGACAGGAATAAAGCCAGCCAAGGAGACATTTGTGTTCTTCCTAATTATATATTTTGACTTATTTAAATTCTGTCTCCCTTTATTTCTTATTGGTAAACCAGGCAGCTGGTGCCTTAGGGCTGAACATCCAGGGAATCCTGGGCTTGCTGGTGTCATCTAAATGCTAAATAGTGTTTAGTTCCTAAAATCCTAGCCTGATGTGCTCAAAGCTGTATTTCTCTGAATTAACAAAACAAAGCATTTAATTTGATCTATTTGTTAACTTTGGAAAAGTATCATACATTTTGGGCTTCAGTCTAGCTTTACTCAAATGAATGTTAAAATGGTGACAAAATAATTGCCTGGGAGTGCAATGACTTCCTGTTCTTGAAAGACAAACACAATTTACGAACAGCAGAATGCTTCCCAAGGAAACATAGAAGCCTGCTGGAAACAGCATGGATGCCGGAGTCAGAACTGGGTTGGAAGTCAGCTCTGCCATGTACTACATAGATAGGCAGCTGTATGAGACATTTATCATCCTGGCTCCTTCTTCCTCCTCTATAATAGTTATCTGTCTCCTGGGTTGTTCTAAAGGTAAAATGAAAAAACGGATCTGAAAATCACCCACACACAATAGGTTTGGTAAAATTGTCATCTCGTTGCCTTGGTCCTGCTTGCTACTTCTTTCCTACTTAATCTCTGACGCTAAGAGAGAAACAGATACTTGGAGGCTATCTCACCAGGACAGGAAGGAAACATAACAATCTTTTTGCACCAAGATAATAAGAAAACTAGCCATTGTTATAATCTTACAATTAGGTTTAGCTTTTTTTTCTTCCCTACCAGTCCAGGAGCTTGCATTCAGGGCCTGAGTGGTGCTACCCCTGTGCTTTTATGCTCAAGGCTGGCTCTCTACCACTTGAGCCACAGT